CTCACTCCACTCATCTCACACCACTCATCTTATTCCACTCATCTTACCAGTGGCGGCGCGCGTGGTCGCCGCTGGGCCGCGGCTGCCGTTTGTGTGGCAGGCACAGCACTCTGTGAACCTCGGAGCGCAGATTTCGTGGCAGGCGCTGTACACAGAGCCCCCCGGACCAGCGGCGGCGGGCGTGGTCGCCGCTGGGCCGCGCTTTGTACGCGCGCGGTGTTGTTGGCGCCTCATCGAACGTAAGCCAGGCTTACTGACCAAGTGCGCTCCATTTTAACACGTTGTCATGAGTCATGAGGCTAGACCTTCTCCTGCTCTACGATGCGTGCGATGGCAACCACGCAGGACGGCTCGGATCCAGATTGCAATCTGTCACTGTGCTACTTACCGTCGCATTGGAGTGATCCTTTGGTTGTATTTCTCTTTCAATCTTCCATCGCCTGTGCCAGGTACTCTGAAGTACACGGAGTGCAGTTGACACTTGCGCTAACTCTGTTCAAAAAGAAATGGTGCGCTGCATGTCTTCTCCAAAAGCGCATATCAAACGGACGTACAATGGAAGCGACGCCCGCGCATTCTGTCCCTCTCATTCCCTCACTCATCCTCTCAATCACGCACTGCTTCTTCTTTCACCCACTATCTCTTTCACCACTCATCACACACCACTCATCTCATTCACTTTTATCGTCCAGTCTCTTTCCGTCCTCCTTTTCTGATCAGTCTCTACTTTTCGTTGATAGTTCTGACAAGCTTAACATGAGGGATTATCCAGTCCTTTGATCTTGGGTTGTTCCCGAATGCATATAGCGAAGGGTTCTGGTTTAACTCTGGGGGTTTGGGGGTAGAGCCTTGTTCGCGACTCGTTGTCTGAGCTTTCGCAACCGTCCGCAACTGCTCACAACAGGTGGAGCGCTACTTGGTGGATGGTTCTTGGTTGTGGAACTTACAATAAACCAGTTACAGCAATTACACCACATAGACATAGAAAACTTGTAAGTTAAAGTCAAAGTTAAACTTGCAAAACTACTATGTACTGTACTGAATTGTGAAAGTTATTTGTAAATAGTTTTTGTAAGTAGTTTTTGGTTGCAAGGTTTGGTGGACGTGAATGTCGCTGTGACGTTGGGATTGGCATGTCGGCAGGTGTGGTTCCGAGGGGCTGGAATCGCGAAGCTGTTTGGCAGGGCTGCTTAATGCGTTAGCTCCGATGGGTCTTCCCGCTTGACTTTAGGAGGAGGTCTCGCGCGGAACGCTCGTATTGGAGACTTTGACGCGTGACTTTTGGAGGAAGTCTCGTGCGAAGCGCTGGCTTTGCAGACTTGACGGGTTTTGGGCGAAGTCTCGTGCGAAACGAGACTTGAACTAGGACCAGGAAGGCTTATACGCAACACTCTTTTTGGTGACTTGACGTGTGACTTTTGGAGGGGGTCTCGCGCGAAACGCTCGTTTTGGAGACTTGAATTGTGACTTTTGGAGGAAGTTTCATGCTCATTTTGAAGACTTGAGCTGAGCTGTGAGTTTTGGAAGAAGTCTCGTATGAAACGCTCGTTTTGGAAATTTGAATTGAGTGAGTTTTGGAGAAAGTCTCGTACGAAGCGCTCGTTTTGGAGACTTGACACGTGACACTTGGAGGAGGCACAAGAGTGTCCCACCAGAGTGTCCGACAAGAGTGTCCCACAAGAGTTTTCCGTAGGGAGTGTCCCACAAGAGTTACACAGTTACACCCAAGAGTGTCCCACAAGAGTGCCCTACAAGAGTGTCTCACAAGTGTGTAACTCTTGTGGGAGAGTGGCCGACAAGAGTGTCCCAGAAGAGTGTCCCACAAGACTGTCCCACAAGAGTGCCCGACAAGAGTGTCCCGCAAGAGTGTCTGACAAGAGCGTCCTACAAGCGTATCTCAGAAGAACGTCGTGCAAGAGTGTACTGCAAGAGTGTGCCCCAAAAGTGTCCCACAAGAGTCCCACCACCAGAGTGTCGTACATGACTGTCCCGCGACAGTGTTTGACAAATGTGCCCCACAAGAGTGTCCCACAAAAGTGTCCCACCAGGCTGTCGTACGTAACCTCTAGTACAGATGTAGCACGGGAAGTGGCACAAGAGTCTCCAACGAGAGTGTCCTGCAAGGATCCCCACAAGAATGTCTCACAAGGGTTTCGACATGTTTCGACAAGAGTGTCCCACGAGAATCTCCTACAAGAGAGTCCCACAAGAGCGTTCTACAAAGGAGTGGCCGACAAAAATGTCCCGCAAAAGAGTGTCCCACAAAATTGTTTCACGAGAGTGTCCCACAAGAGTGTTCTACAAGAGTCACAAGAGCGTCTCCTACAAGAGTGTCAAAAAAAATGTTTGGCCGTTTGTCTTTGAATGCGTGTGTACATTCGGGTTCGTGGGTTCCATCTTGTTTTGTTTTTCGAGTTGGGATATTTCTTGAAGTTTTTGTTTCTTGAAGACATGCGACATGTAGCAGAAATTGTTGGTTTTAGGTTTGTTCGGTTTTGTGTTGATACTTTGTGTGGTTAGGTACGTCAAGAGGTACAATACCGACGTAGAACACTGTACATGTTTCATGAAGGTGTTTGTCACTGATTGAAATCGCTGGTTGAAAGTCGCTTATTCCCGTCACCTTTTGCAGGCTTTCGGATTCTGGAAAGTGGAGATCCTCCTCAATGCGTTGTCGGCCATGAAGGCGGGTGTTTGTTGCCAAATTGCACAACGCAAAATATTTTGGACTGCAGGCTCCTGTAGACCTTGTTTGTGTCCGATGTCCTGCAGATGTGCGGCATCGCGCGGGATACTCTCCGAAGCTTTGGACCTAGTCCGAGTCTGAAGTGGAAATGTTCAACGGAGTCGATCAAACACATGGCTCAGGCACAACCGGATTTGGATGTGTGCCAACCGGTTTTGGAATCCTTTCGAGTTCCGAAGAGGACAAATTGTTTCTTGAGCGCATCATGTTTTAGAGATATTGCAACACGGTGATTCGATTTGCTAGTTGGAAGTGTTGCCTTGTACGTATCATGAAAATGGTGAAACTGCAGAGATTAAATTCATGTCATTCTATGATGTGTTTGCAGTGCTCGTCCACGAACTGACGCATGCCTTTGACTTTGCCCGTGCCAAAGTTCTGGACTCAGTTGATTGAGTTAGACTTACATGTGAGGTGCTGTCATAATTAGTCATAATTATTCAACATTAGTCTCAAAGTTCCTCTTCAATGCCCCATTTATTTGGTGGAAGTGTTCAAAAGCATTGGAAATGAATGCGGACAATACAGACCCACCCCAAAACAGCAACATGCGCTTGACTCTGGGAGTCGAAGACGTCGAAGTTCTGGAGGGACTCTAGTTTGGCTGATTTTGGTGGATCATGTCACCTCAGAGGCTTTCATGTAGAAAGGATAATGATTAGATTGTATACGGCCCGCTTCCCCAGACCACAAGGTATCAGAAGCTAAAAGTGCTGCTTTGTATGAACTGTTATGACCTGGTGATTGTGTGTGTTCTCCTGGCCATAACATGCCATAACAAGGTGTTGTGTTTCGTTTCTTTGTTGCCACTGTAGCTTCGCCACACCCGATGCGATCAAGGTTGACACTGGATCTTGCGTACATATAGCCCTTTACTGAGAGATTTGGTCCAGGTTTTGTCATAAGTACTGTCTGGTCAACGTCAAGGCCCTTTTAAATCACTTTGTTGGTCCCTGGCAAGGCATGCACCGAAATTCGAGCTTGGAACTTGAGCGGGGCAGCGAACTGAGGCTGAGTGCTTTGCTTGTTTTAAGAAATATCAGAAAAATGACATGACTCAGGAGTGTGACTTATGGCGGAACTCCTTCAAGTACTTTGGCGAGGAGTTCAATTTTTTGTCCCACCCAGTCCCGCTTAGTCGCAAGGCCCAAGGGGCCATCCACTGGCTCTTCCCCTAGCTGGTGGGGTCATTTGTGTCTATGCCGTTTCAATTTGTTTAAACATTGACTCAATTAGTCCAGCAAGTTTGCCTGTGGTCCTTGCGACGCAGTTCAGAGAACAGCATGGGCGCATAGATGTGCATAGTCTATGGAATGATTGACGATGGGTCATTAGCCGATTCAGAAACCAACCGATCAGGCAACTACGATTCAGAAACCAAAACAGCCGATTCAGAAAAAAACGATTCAGAAACCAGAATGGCCGATTCAGCAACTACGATTCAGAAACCAAAACAGTCCGATTCAGAAACCAAATGGTCCGATTCAGGAACCACATGAGCCGATTCAGAAACCAAAACAGCCGATTCAGAAACCAAAATATCCGATTCAGAAACCAAGTCGGACGATTCAGACACCAAACCAGGCGATTCAGCAACTACGATTCAGAAACCAAAAGAGCCGATTCCGCAACCAAAAAAGCCGATTCAGAAACCAAAACAGCCGATTCAGAAACCAAAACGGCCGATTCAGAAACCAAAACAGTCGATTCAGAAACCAAGTCAGACTGTTCAGAAACTAAGCCAAGATAATAGCGTTCCATGTGGATGCAAAGGGCTTTTACATTCAGTCAAGTAAGAAGTAGTGGTGGACGGCAGGAGGAGTGTGGGGTGGGGGGGCAACCATGGCCGAGATAATAACGTTCCATGTGGATGCAAAGGGATTTTACATTCATTCATTCATATATGAGTCAACTTGTATCAACAGCATCTGGCTGAACAGAGTGGAGGGTAGGAGCAGTGTGGGGTGGGGGTTCATGGCCAAGATAATAACATTCCATGTGAGGATGCAAAGGGCTTTTGCATTCATTCAAGTAAGAATTAGTGGCGGACGGCAGGAGGAGTGTGGGGTGGGGGGGCGGGGGGGAATCATGGAGAGATTTTGCATCGGTGGCACTACTACCACCACCACCACCACCTACTACTACTACTACTGCTACTACTACTACTACTACTACTACCCGAATCATCAGCTTCTTCTTTTGGAAATGTTTTTGGTTTTGGTTTCCCGGGTTTGGTTACCGAACCAGCGGTTTTGGTTACCGAATCAGCAGTTTTGGTTACCGAGTCAGCGGGTTTTGGTTACCGAATCAGCGGTTTTGGTTACCGAATCAGCGGTTTTGGTTACCGAATCAGCGCTTTTGGTCACCGAATCACAGCTACCGAATCAGACCGTTTGGTTACCGAATCAGACGTCGACCTTGACGATGCCATTATTTCAGGAGATGATCAATCGAAAGCAGCGATGTGTGCGGGATGGCGCGGTTGCATCACTGTTGGAGAACGAGCGCTGCCAGGACATAACGAATAGTTTTCCATTAACTTTGATTGTCGCTCCAAAATCACAGTCTTTAACTACTACTGTAGGTCACCCCGCCACAGGTGGACTGTGGCTCATTGTGCAATTTTTTGGTTGGAAAAAAAAAACGAAATGAACATGTCCATCGTTTTAAGGTCTGACATGGTCTGACCAAACTAATGCGTTTTCTGATTCTTGCAACTGCCACGATCTCTGTGGCAGAGCAGAGGTCTCACACTTTACACATCTTTGCAAGTGCTTAGCTTGCAGCCAGTCTTCGCAGCTGTCAATCCCTTGCCGAAGTCCTTGTCAGGTCATTGACGTAGTTCTCCCTAGTAGCAATGGCAGAAGCCCCTAGTAGCTTCTTGTTCCGAGTAGTACGGCCAGGAGCCCCTAGTAGCGTCCTTGCTCCTAGTAGCGATGCCAACCCTTCTTTTTTTGTTCGCCTCTTTGGGCAAGAACGTCTTCAAGCTTTGTACCCTTTGCGCGAGAAAGCCCTTTAGGCTTGCTCGGCCCTTCCGCGAAGACTTTCGCACATCCTTCAATGACAACCCGACCTCCGTGCTTTGGAGATGCGCGTTCCCGTGCTTGAGGTATGTTCGTCCCAAATGAGCACCGCAAGAAACCTCCCAAGATGAACTAAGTAAAGGCCTTGTCATATGGAACTTGGGCGTAAGCAAAACCTGAAAAGGGTAAGGTTGCGTAAGGGAGTTGTGAGATATGTATGTTGCGTAAGCTTGCTATATGGTTACGTTGTACTTTCACCTACAAAAGGAGCCTTCGTGTAAGCATTTCCCTTGGGAGTATGGTTCTCATGTGTGAAAATGCAGATGCGTAAGATCTGCGAAAGGTCTTCTCCACCATCCGTGGCGCGTAAGTAAGCTCACATTGTGGTCGCATAAGAAAAGCGTAAGCAGGAGCGTAAGAAACTTATACGACATAGGGGGTTAATCATATGTATTTTGCAAAGCTTAAACGCTGCAGAGAACACGCAGCACGGATCACCTCTGCTCAAGACCAAGTGTCTGGCTTCCCTAACATCCCATGTGTTTGCAAGTCCGAGAACATATGCTGCATGGTTATCAAATGTGTATTCCTAGAACATATTCTGATTACCCACCAACTGGTGAAAGTCACAGGCTTCTACATAGTCGACATTGCAAAAATAGCCACAGGAAACCTGTGGCATGCCCAGGAACTACACTATTGTTTTGAAAGCTAGCATTGGCTAGCTCAGTTGTTCTTGATTTATATGGCAAGGGAGGGAGGCCTCAGGCCAACACTGTGATCTTTCACCAGAAACTCGCCTTCCCTCTCCTCCCTCCACGTGTTTATTGGACGTCATGGATTCTTTAAACCAGGAGTGCATGCCATCCAATTGCCGTAGCTTTCGTTTACCCCCGCTGGCCTCAAGTGACTTTTTACTTGCAGTGCCCAACAAGCGGTTTTGCAGGATACATATGTGGCGCACGCAGCCCTTGAGGAGGCCTGATTTCAATAAGGACCTACAAATCATTGCTGGACTCAACACGTGCAGGCATGGCCTCAGTGCTGGAGGGACTATTGGCCCTTTACAACAAAGCCGGTACACCACTGAAGATTGCCTACCTGCGATGTATCCGTGTTTGTACAAATCCACCTCAAAGAAGATTTGTGCAGTGGTCAAATGTGTTTTAAGGTTTTTTTGTCTATGATGTGGTGAAGTGCATATGCTGGCACTTTGTCATATGGTGTATGGCATGTGATGTTTGGCGATTTGCAAAATTTGAGCTCTTTTTGGACCTGCATACGACCTCCTACGCTATAACCGGCCTACTGAAAGAAGGACTCAAAATTTGCAGCTCGCTTTTGCGCGACCAAACAAGACTGCAAACTTGAGAAGGCTTAGCCCCGCCACTGCAGTGCGACTTGAAGCCCTAACTCCAGTTTTAAAGTGCCCAAACCAAACCTGCAAAGCATGTACTGAGAACAAACCGGAGGTTGTCGTGCCTGTGACCCAGCACTGCCGCAATGTCACAGAGGTAGTTGCTTCGTTTGCGCTGGACCCGCGCCTTTCAAAATGTGCACGAGCTCATTGAGCCCCTAAAACGAATGCATTTCGTCATAAAACGAATGCTTGGCGTTTTGCGCCTCAGGATCACGTGACTTACTTGTCCCATGCGGATCTTGATTCCTTTTTCTGGTAGTTTTATCTCGCAATGTTCCATAGTTTTGCCACCTCCGTAGCAGCCTCCACTGTCTTCAAGCTCGTAGCTTGGATGTTTTCCTCCAAACTTCCTTTGGTAAAGGTGTACGAACTAAAGGCACAGTGCATGCATACATTCACATCATGTGCATATGTACATGCGATGTACATGCGTGATCATGCATAAACATGTGGGAAGATCGTTGAATGCCTTGAATCTCACAGCCTGTTCTGGGTTTGAGTCATTTGGCTTGCTCAGAGCACCCATTGCCACGGATTGCAGCATGGGAATAGCACGGCACAAGTCCCTGGGAGCTGCGTTATGTTGGATCATCCTCCATGATGCAGACGGATGTCAACAGGTGTCTTGGATAAAAAACACTTGTAGATAGAGCGGCCTTTGCTTGAAATGGCCACCATGTACGACTGCATGGGTTTGAAGTGTTTGTATGTGGATATCGTTAAGGAAAAACCATGAACAAGCATGAAACATCACAATAAGCAAATTGGAAAAGGAACATCAAGCTCAGAAAAACGGCCCACATCATGGTGGAGAGACCATGCTAGCTTCCAGGAGCTACAAGTCTATCAAACAGATTCAAACAGTTTGCTGAAGGCATTGATGGCTCTGGGTTTCAAAAGGATGTCTAGAAGTCCCGCACTTTGCAAGCAAGGTGCCTGTACCACTGCCAGCAACACTTGTGATGGAAAAGTCCTTTTGGTCCTTCTTCTCCACCTTCACTATGCATCGCTTCGAATTCAGCATGAAGCAAGGCGGCTGCACAGCTAAACAAGGACGTTGCTTTCCATTGCTTACGGCTGTGCAGTGTGCTGCCAAGTGACGCTCCCTCGCAGAATGAACTCACCTTTTTGGTTTGCACAGGCCAATTATTCCTTGTTTCCATGATTCTGTGACAGTGCCTTCTGAATGGTTCGTTGTGTTCTTTTGCCCCAAACTCAAACTTAGGTGAAGCTCAAAACGAATGTGTTGCTTTCGACAGGCCCAATGTATTTGGCAAGGGTGAATGCTGCTTGTATCCTGCTGGGCAGGCAGTAGTTCCTGATGGGTCTCCTCAGAAACGATGTTTTGTTTGGATTGGACCAAGGGCTTTGGAAGCAAAAGAAGGGAGAAGCTCTTACTTTGGCGAAATTTGGCGGCAGCCTGCACTTCAAAACATGGCTCACTTGTCCACTGATGCCGACAAACAAGCTGCATCGGCTATAATGGACCTTTGCTTGCCGTGGTCGCACTGCAGTTTTCGCATTTTCAATTGTAGGGGTCAACCTCTTTATGCCCTGGTTGCCAAAATGCTCGCGTCTGCAGACAGTCCATTGCAACTGGTTTGGTCATACGAAATTCGTAATTCCAGTGGGCACTACTTGGGACGAACTTCAGAACTACAGAGCGGTTATCGACCGATCGAGCTCTATGATGCGCAAGGCCGCAATGTAGCCACTTTGTCAACCGTTTGGACATTTTTGTCATCAGTTAGCACTGGAACCTGGTACATCAACAATGAGTTTCCTGGCATTGCTGCGTCTGAACAGCCGCTCCTGGATGGCAGGCTAGTAGCATTCTTAGCAGCGCATCAATTTGCAGCACAAGGTTGGTTTGGCCCATTCTGGACTTTGTTGTTTTGGTGCTCACTGCTTGGTGGACTTGCCTTCGTGATAAAGCGCTGGCTTCAAGCGCCTGAGAAGTATGGGCTCATTGAAGAGGAAACATCAGGCTGTTGGAATGTAAGAAAGCGTGAGGTAGAAGTGGAGTCAAAAAATCGAGTCTGTCGGGCATGTTGAGAACGACAGCACCAAAGTCCGTGTGGACAGGAATTCACAGCAAACGGCCTCTGGCCAGTTTCACGGCACATCATCAATGTTTAGAGAGCTGGAACAGGCAATACAGGGCACAATTGCTATATATGTGATACTACGTGCTTACTTACCAAATATAGTATCACATCAACATGATCACTGTAATTGCTTGAGTTCGAGTAGTTTGGCAGTAAAATATAAATGAACGGTGTCTTCAAGCACTGGGCATGCCACACCGCACCATGGATTTGCTAGGACATGGAGCAGAACAGCTGCAATTGTCCGTCATAGCTGTTTGAAATCTGGCAGTGAAGCTTTGCCGACCAAAGAATTGTCTCACAAGATCTCAGGAGCAGGTCAAGCAAAACTTGCTGCAAATAGTTGGCTGCTCATCAGTGCTTTTCCCGAGCTCCAGCTTGCGTCCGGAAAACAGCTGGTTTTCATTGAACGAAGCCACCCACGTTTCAAGTCGTTTGTACTTGGGCAAATTTGAATATTATATATAATAAATATCAATAAATATACTGACTGGTAGACATATTCAGATGATTTACTGTAGATGTGGCGGGTCGATCAGGAGGTGGAGTTGAGTTTTGCATTCTTTGACAGTCAAGGAGTTGCCACTGATAAGGACTTGGACACACGTTGGCGACAGTCTCCAATGCTTCGATAGCAGTGATCCGGGCACCTGTTGAAAAAGGTCGAATACAGCTCAGCTCGGAATTCCGGCAGTTGCATGCTCTAGATCATAGAATTGTGTGTATATGCACCATTAGTTTCACGCAAAGGAAGTTGCTAACTTGCCAGTATCGAGAGTTCCCACGGGGTTGATGATTTGAGCAAGATAAACCATTGGCTTTTCAACAATAATGTTCATGCATCAGTGTGGATGTTTATGGTATGCAAGTGTGATGCGAGTGTGCTGGAGGCATTTTTAGTCATGTGTTTAAAGATAACAAAAGAGCCGGTCCATGCCGGCCCAAGAATTTGACAAGCGCAAGAACTCACAAAAAGGCCGCAAGGCATCAAGGCATCAGTCGTTCAACAGAATGCATCTATTTCAGGAGTTGATTGTTTGTTTTGAAGAACTTCTTTTCTTTGTCCTGGTGGGTCAAGGAAGGAAGGAAGGAAGAGAGGAACCATTTCAACGTAGGCCACAGCCCCCCTCCCGCACCTCGAAATTTGCAACCTCTTCAATTTCCTGCCTGCCGCAAGGTCTGACTTTAAGGGCGGGCCACACCCCTCAAGTTTCGTTTCTTTTTTTCCACCCGGGGCTCCGCACTTCTGTGGGCGGCTGCCTTTTAGTAGTTTATAGTTCTAAGCCTGTTGTATTGCAACCATTCGAACTCCAGGGCGCAAATGACAAGCCATGGTTTACATTGGTGTTTTTCAGAACCCCCGAAGATTAACACGGAACCTGAATGTCTCACATAACATGCAAAAGGCATCTTTGTCAAGAATGCTGATACTCACTATTTACTTGAAATCTTACTAAACACAAAAGATTTTGCCATTTGACCATTTAAGGACTAGGCATTCTTGCATGTCACATAATCCGGCTCAAGGGACTGGATGCCTAGCAATTGGCCCATTTGCTTGAGCATTCGAGATGACAACACCTGTGCAAACGCTCACTCCTCAGCCTTGCACTGTTTGCCTTAGAATTCATCAGAACAGTTTGAAGGTGGGGAACGCTCGGGAATTTGGTCCCCGAGCAGAAAGAGTTTGGAGCGCGAGCCTGAGAAATTGGCATTTGCAGGCAAGTCAAACACAAAGTCTCTTTTACCTAGGCAGAGACGGCTGCATACCTGGAGTCATATGAGGCAAGCGTTTGCACGCGAGCATGTGCCGAACAGTTCGGAAATGATGCTATAACAAGCTTAGATTTGAAGGGTGTTTGTTTGACGAGTACAAGGTTGATCAGTTGATCCACCGTATGTTCAGACATTGCCACATTGCCACAGTTCATCTTGGGCACCTCCCATCAGTGTCCATATACACTGCGATGTAGAAATCTCCAACCCATGCAGTCATAGTTTGGACCGAACATGGCCCAAAACCAGAATCTCGCTCCATGCTTGGCAGTCCTGCCCAGGCCCCGCTCCCTACCCCTCCTGGTCCTCATCGCTAACTTGTGGGTGCTTGGGTTTGTTGGATTGGATAGGTATTATATTGTTATAGACTATATAGTATAGGTATTATATATATATATATATTGGATGGGTACTATAATGTACTATATAGTTATACTAATGAGTCTAGTCTAGTGTCTCAGAGTTCATTGCATTTGCTTGCATGTGTTACATATTTGTGTTCACAAGGCAAAACCTCAAGACATAATGGCATGTAATCTCCTGCTAGCTCAAATCCCTATACAATATAAATACCTATATATAAGTACATTGCATCAATTGCTATAAGTGCAGTTATAGGCGGCAAGTGTTGAATGCTCGGAATTTTGGCCACCTAACCTCGTACAAACCTGCCTTTTGTGGTAGGTGTATGACCTTTTTGCTCACTTGCTACGACAGGCCACAGTGGAAATGTGTTCAGATCTACAGTTTTTTGCAATTTCTGAAGGCAAACATTAACAAACACAGTTGACACATCGTGACAAAGCTGAACAAACACATTTGTGGCCGCCAGGTGATAGTGGAAAGGCCAGAAAATCCAATCAAATTCTTCCAGGTGGCTTAACCTGTGAACCATGACGTACTTGTCATGTGAGTGATATTTGCCAGCCAATCGTCATTTCCCTGCACAGGAATGTTTGAAAGAACACTCCAAGTTGTGCATTTGCGTAATGGGGCCTCCTGGTGTGAATCGCTCCAAGTATTGCCAGCAGTTGGCTGCAGTCCTCGCCCCAGTTTTGCCTTTGTCAGGCATGCAAGAGTTTGCTTATTACGATGTATTGTATTGTTGTACGTGTTTGCTTGTTGATGTGCGCGCAGGACTACAAGCTGAAGCATGTGCACGTGGGGAAGCTTTTAAGGCGAGTTTGTGCAAGCGCAGTGTTGTGACAAACAGGCGGGCGGTCACTGCAGGGCCAGGAAAGAGCTCAAAGATGTGATCAGTACTGGAGAGCTTGTAGCTGATGACGTGGTGATCGATCTTGTGAAGGAGAAGACATTGAACCAGAACATGAACAAACAAGACCTACTTCATGAACAAACATGTATCAGTTGCATCAGAGATTGTATTTTTACACTGTTGACTGTTGCCTCAATGATCCCAGCTTCAGGACGAACTCAGAAAAGCTAAACACACTGGGTGGGCGGACAGCTCAAATTCTTTCAGGAAAAGGCTTTACTGACAAGGAAGTCAATGTACAGATGTGTATATATATACAGTATATATATATATCGAGCGCAAACAGACTTTGTGAAGAAACCCGCACTTAGGTATTGGACGGTTTCCCCCGGACAAAGGTGCAAGCGCAGTCACTTGCAGCTGCCAGCAAGGCACGAGAATTTGAGCCCCACTGGTTCACTTTGCAGAGACTCAGCTGAGGAGCTGGGAACTAGCCTGGACAGTGTGCTGATGCTTCATGGCAGCGAGGACGCATTTTGCTGAATCTACCAGGATTAACCACTCAATGAACTGCAATAAATTTATGCAAAAATTGTACTGTACAAGCAAAGCTGGGAGGACCTTGCAAGGCAGAACTTTGCTGCAAAGGCAAGAAGCACTGCTGTGTGCTCTTTATTTAGTCAGCGGATTCTTTTTGAGAAGAATCACTTGAGAACTGTGGACGTTTGGTTTTGTTGTAGCAATGTTGTCCAAGCATTCACTGGCCTGCAATCCTGATCACGAAAGGTAGCGGTTACGCTACCTGAGTTTTCCTTTTGCTTTAGCAAAAATGAATTATAACCAGAGTGGACACCCATCTCACTAAGAAATCGCGGCCGGGGGGGGGGGCCCCCCCCCCCCCCTTTCAACTCCAACCTGGCGCGGGTCTTTGCCAACAGGTACAAAACACTGTAAATACCAGTGTTATCAGCTCCTCCAGTCTGCAAGAGTGGCCTCAATTTACATGGTTTTCTGTGGCTGTCCGGCCAAAAACATCGTAAAAACCGATGGTTTTTGAAGTGTCTAGGCTTCAAAAATGGTCGAAAAATTGCCAAAAACCTGGAAAGATTTTGTCGGAAGGGCTTTTTCGGCGTTTGGAGGCTTCTAAATGGCACAAAACGACGGTATTTACACGGGTTTGTGCGCCTTCCCGGCACAAAACCCTGTAAATTGCGATGGTTTTGGGCTGTGTACGCTTCAAAGTGGCCACAAAGCACCGTAAATGCTAGTGTTTTCATGTGTTTTCAGTTCCTCCTATCTTCAAGAGTGGCCTCAAACCACGCTATTTGCAGTTTTTTTGTTGCGGAAAGGGCTTTTGCGGTGCTTAGAGGCCTCAAAGCCTCAAAGTAGCACAAAGCGACGGTACTTACACGGGCTTCTGCACCTTCCTGCCACAAAACCCTGTATATTGGGATGGTTTCAAGCTATGTACGCTTCAAAGTGGCCACAAAACACCGTAAATACCATTAATACCAGTGTTTCCAGGGTTACGCCTGATTCCCTGCTACCTTTCGTTCGCCCCCTCCTGTCTCAAGTGATGGCATGACCGTGATGCAGGTTGAAGGTGAGATGGACTCCGAGAAGAGGGATGTGGTTGAAATGCATTTGCAACAGTGAGCGCTGCAACTTTGTGCATTGATGCTGCAGTTGTGCATACGTTGGTCCGGTTTGTATTGGAGAAATGTTGGAGGTACAAGCGTCATGTGTTGACGATCAGTGAATTCTTCAAGAATTCAGCAGCTTGGCTTTGCCAACTTGTAGATCCTGACTACCTTTGATGAATGCGTTGAGTCAGTTGTTTATCCGTCTAACAGACCAGGTGAGACGCATCGAAGTACAGGGAGGCACCTCTTTTGGACAAGCATGGATTGCTGGCGCATCCAAATGCCAAGCAATTACAGCTAAATCTGATTTTTTGGGTTTGACCAAAACTGCACACAGCTCATTGGTTGAACCCTAGGTGCTGACACAAAAGTGCATGATCATCAGGAGAATCAGAGCAAGAAAGTGTGTACAAGACCATTTGCAGCAATCTGCATTACAGAGGGTGCAAGACTCAGAAGACTTCAGAGGTCACAGCAGGTGAGCTTAAGGTAGCTCAAGCAAGCTAGCTTACACTGATTTGCTCGCACTGTTCACCACATTGGTGCTTTCTCACGTCATCAGCCTTGATAAGCTTTGAACATGTTGATCATCAATACAAGACAAGTGTGTATATATATATATGTGTAAGGTTCTCCAATGCTCCTCTTCGTATGCACCGCATTTGCGTGCTCGGACCATGTGCCTCTGGCAGGACGAAGGGAGTAGCATACAACCCCAGACGGATGGTCATGTCCTAAACCTGCATGATTGCTTGAGGACTACACAGTGCAGCCTTTTGTCCAGGAGGCTGGGCGTAGTTCACGTGGATGGTGCCTCAGGACCTGAGCAAAGGCAGTAACTATATTCTATAGTATTTTGAATGCATTTGAAGAGTGTCAACATATGTCAGCATCACGTCCATAAGGATTTGGCGACGTTGCTACGAGAAAAGCAGGTGCAATTTTAGCAACCTTGTTTCAATTTGAACAGCCATGGCCATTTCTTTGAGTCATGTGTGTACAATGCAAATACTGTTGCAAGTTTGCAGCTGCTCTAATCTAAATCACTGATGGTATTGATCAGAATCTTCAAGAATCCTCAGAGAGTCTCCGCTAAATGTCAGGCTGGATGCCAATTTGAAGAAGTGCCACCTGACTTTGTTGGTGATGAAGAGGCTTGTGCTCTCATTGGAGCGTCTGCGCCTCAGCAATGCAAGATTTTGCGGTTGAAGGAAATGCACAGGAGCTGCCATTTCAATCCATTTCAGGATTCCACCCTACGGACACTCCATCCACACAAAACGGTACACTACCGATGAAGTACAGCGTATTTTCAGAGGGCGAACCACTGAAATAGAGCGTTTGAGCGCTTGTATACATCGAGCGAGCAGATGAGCAAGTTCATCTACAAAATTCACTACTACATGTGTTTTGTGTTTTTCCCGGATTGTGTGTGTATGCCACTCCATGTTTCTAAGGGAACACATCACAGTTTCTGACCTTCCTCAGACTTACCCTTATCCCATTGTACAGTTTGAGCCACACCACCCACCACGAGCGAGTGGCCAACGAAGAGCCTGGTGGTGTGATGTTGCAAACGTACCTGCAATTTACTGTATATAATTGCTTGATTTCTCCGTGGCCCCTGCTTGCAACTACAGCAAGACTTCATCCTTTGCACCGGCGCTAATGCACCGTGTTTAAACCATTCTGTTCTCCGACCTCTCGCCATTCTCTTCAATCAGCCCAGGTCTAATTTGCTGTAATCATAAAGCGCTAATGCATTCGGTGATCCAGGAACTGATGCTATGCTCTTGCGAACCCTCTCTCCAAATGTGTGCATTTACAGTCTATAGACTTAGAGTGCACAGTCTTTCATTCAGTTGTCAAGTTGAGGCGGTTGCGCCAAACGGATTGCGTTCGAAAGGGCTGGGTCGAGACCACAGACACTTTGGGTGCTAGTGCTGAATGGGTTTCTATAACAACCCCAAGAAGCCTTAGAAAGAGAGAAGACAATAGGGTTTTTAAACATACGGAACGAAAGCCTGAAAAGAATAAACATCTATATTGTTGGAACCAAAAAAATGAGAAAGACAGACCCACCTACTTTAGCCATTACCAATGTGCACGCCACTGCAGGTCCTGGATGGATTTCCGCGCACCAGGGCACAAGCAGAGTTTTTGAGGCAAGGACAGGTCCAGCTAAACGAGTTCAGTTTGAAATCACTGCTGGTTATCTTGCACTTTCCAAATATTGTTCCAGGCAGGCTCATTTGTGGCCATCCCGCGTCATCCAGTCAGACCTGACACCATTTTGCAAGACCTGCCATTGATGTTATCCAACCTACAAAGAGATTTTGGGAGCACGTTGTATTCGTTTGAAGCCTCTATCGCATTGATACCTTGTAGTTTCGCTTCATGTTCTTGCATCTCCGGTTGACATAGCAGGCTGCAAGTTGCAGATGCAGTTGTTGAAACAAGGGCTTCATCTCGACGCGACACCCTCAGCTTGAAGCTGCCCAGTTGGAATCTTTGCACATCGCTAGATTTTCGCGCCTTGCACTGCACTGAACCTGCGACATTTATACATAATTAGTTACTAAGCCATACTAAGCCGAGATATGTTTTTTTCCTCAAATGTGACCCACGGCCTAGGTGTAGACCCAGTGACCGGCATTGCTTACTACACGCCGCCGAGCTTGCATTTAGTGTACTGTGGTGCGTGAAGCTTAGAGCCCCGAGAGCCAAGGAATCCAAACAGTGTCGCAATTACACAGCAGCTAGTCCAATGTCCTCACGACCAACCGGAGAAGGCATGAAATCAATGCACTTTGTTATTGCGGTTGATGCACCTTGCGCTGACCAGCTCAAGTCAGTGCTGTGGCTTAGGTTCGTGAGAGGGTTGCATCATTTGCCGAGAACATACAGCAAGTTTCAGAGTCTTGGAAGCGGGTCGCTTCCTTAGCACTCCGAAGCACGTATCTACAGTTGATTCCACATATATATATATAATTATAAGCAGTTTGAGTCGCATGCGTTGACAGCAAAGCATATATGTATGTATATACATACATATTTACAGGCACTGATCCTGCGCAGGTTTTCAGTAGTGTTCTTGCTGACGGCCAGCCAGAGGATGTTGCCGCAGGACCGGATGGTTCAGTTTCCTGTTCATTTCTATGCCGACTGATTCCACAGCTAGGACTGCTTGAGAGGGTGTCCAATCCTTTGCAGTCCGAGGTCGTGCAGGAGTCCCTTAGGAAACATTTTCTTTGCGATGCCATGGCAAGATGTATACTTATTTAGGTTTCGTTGGGCAGAGCCTACAAAAGTATATTGCGTTGGCCATGTTGTATTCATTTTGCATGCAAAGCTCACTGGGAATTATTGCCAGCATTCAATTCACGTTTGTTCCGGTTGCGCGTTGCTGTAGCCAAAATCGATGGATTGACCCCTAGACGCTGCTTTCCAACTGTTCATTTAGTAGTTTCACTCTTCAAAAGACTTTGCACAACACACTGTTATTATGACCTTGGAACAAGGAGTTGATTTTGAGTATATAGATTCATAGCTGTACTGTATTGGCAGCATTCAACCCAGCTAAAGTTGCGGAGTAGCGACCAGCTAGCCTAGGGCACCCTGAAGACACTGCAGAGCAATGCAATTGGTCAAACTATGTTTAGACAAGAAACATCCGCAACGCACAACTTCAAAGAGATCAATGTTTTTGTAGGTCACTGCAAGAGTGGATTGACGGTGAGAAGCTTGTTGATGCCATCCATGGTTGTACTAAGCATTGAAATGGCTAGTCAAGTAGAGACACGTAAGGAAAACCAGGCAATGCACAAACCTGAAGGAAAGGATAGGCTTGTACAGACAAGCATCAGAGAAATGGCAAGTAGAGAAGAAGTACGACTTTAAAGGGAAATAGGCAATAGAAATGGGAGTCAAAAGAAACTACAAGATGTTCGCTGTGATCAAAGCTACCGAGTAGAAGAAGCAAAATGAAGCTAACCTACTACCAGTAGCACTTGCTAGTAAGAGATTGAAGCTTCAGAGCCGCTCACATCCAAGAACACTCTTTGCCCTGCTTCGCTGCCTTTGGAGTCTTTTTCTGTGTGAAGCCCTTTGGTCCCCACCTCCAACATGTGGAACCCAACGAATGGAACCTGCTTCAATTTGCTGGCCATTGGTTTCCATATTGTTCACAGCGTGAAGATTCGCATGTTTGCTAAAGTGAAAATCTACCGAAGATATGAGGTACCGTACCTGAATTTGAACCTCAAAAACAATGGATGGCCTTTGCTAAAGCCATGGTTCAGAAAGACCTAATACTTGATGTGATGTGTCCTCATTCTTTGTGTGAATCTGTCGGCAGCATGATGCAGCAATTTTGCGAGGATCCAAATAGCGGTCTCTGAGCTGTCCGAGCCTTGGGTGCAGAAAGATAGGCATCCAGCAGCCCAGTAACGTTTATTGTGTACAACTTTGCCCAAGATGAACACTCGGCTACTGGGGCCACAGGGCTTTAGTTCTTGCAACTGTTGCTAACCATGACTGCGCCAATGATTTTTACTCTGACTGCTGCTGCTGCTGCTGCTGGTTTGCGGTTTGCGGTAAAGACCGTGAGGGGGCGGTCAATTCCCCTAACACTAGGATACTTTCACTCTATAGTGACGGATACTCACTTAGAACAAATCGGTGAAAAAAAAATATATATATATATAGACAGCGAGAGCTGGAGAACCCCGACTCTTAGAACATCCAAAACAGAGCTGGAAAATACATCACCTACTGTATAATGAAACACGGCACTTATCTAAGTTGCCTCTAAATGCTTGTCCGTCACGGTAAGCCCTTGATGTGATTGGGTTGAAACGCTGTAGGTTCCTTTTGATATAGAGGTCAAATGGATTTTATTTGTCATCATAAATCAAACAGCATCTCTTGGGGCACAGCTGTGAGAGTGATGCGCTTTGGCTTGGAGAAAAAGAATTGGATGCAGTCTGAAAGCTGAATAATGTTCCTACATATTGATACATAGTATACATATATGAGCACGTTTGTGTTCAAAGTGTTGGGAATGAGTTCTAAGTGCATGGATTTCGATTGTTCTAAGCGCATAGCTTTCAATGCTGATTTCTTGTTCTATGTGTTGGGTCCTCCGGATGTTCTAAGTGACTCTTATTTTTCCCCAAACAGTGTGGGCACACTGAGGGGTTCTTACGGTAAGTGAAAAGCAGCTGATGCTTAGATCGCTGAAGCGCGCGGCCGTGAACGGCTAGTTCGTTGCTATTTACAGTACCCTGATCTTCCAAAAGTCTCTATTTAGAGGTTCCACCCTTATTTAAAGACTATAGTCTATAGTCTTTATTTTTTTCAATGAAAAACCTCTAAATAAGGTCTATAGACTCTAATTAGAGGTTAAACCCCTTAAAATAGAGAAGGTACCTCCTCTATTTAAAGCTTTAAGCTTTAAATTGGAGACTATAGTCCTTATTTAAGGGATGTTCCAAAAGCCCTTATTTAAGGGATGTTGACTGGCAAGAGAAACGACATATTTTCCATGTTAGAGTCCACTTCAGAGCTCCGGCACATCGTGCTGTGCAGCAAAACGGTCAAACACAGAGAGCCCCACTGCTTTTGCAGTGCTTCCCCCACCTCTGCGCTCGGCCAAGAGTGCAATCCTACCGCCCCATGACTCCTCAGTGTATGTCCAGAAGGCAGACGGCGGAGTGCTAGTCTGGACAAGTTCGAGAAAGGCGTGCAGCTTTGGCTTGGCCGGAAAAGTCTTCCAGCCATGAGCCGCGGAGCAATCACCCAGCGCGACATAGAGAAGGGCGAAGCGCAGGGCAGCCTGTTCTAGAAGTTCTCTGTGAAAGGCCTCTTTGCTCAGCTGCTGGTAGCAGACCTGCAACTGCAGGGCGGCTGCTGCTGCAGTGGCGGCCGCAGGCTGTGTGTGGTCGAAGAGCTTGTTTGTGACCTCGATCGCGAAATCAATGAGGTCCCTAGCTTCACCGGCTTTCGCCCGCAAGCGGGCATAGGCGCCAGGCTGCTTCCAGATCATTGTGGGCTTGAGCTCCAGCAAGCAAGAAGTCTTGCAGGTTCTCTTGTAGTAGGCCTTCATACGCAAGTGTAGAGCGCTGCACTTTTGCGCTTGGTTGCCCTCGAGGTAATCGCAGGCCCAAGCCAACATGCCCCCTAAGAATTCCAAGGAGATGCCCAAGTCAGTGGTGTGGAGCCAATCCATTTGGAAGGTTTCGGTGGTGACAAATGGAATGTTGAAGGCTGGAGAAATCGATTTCCCATCAGCCACCATCCTGACCAAGAGATCAGCATGGCACAGGCGGTGGCTGGGCTGTCGCCAGTCGGAGTTGGAGGCCACTTCGCGAATGCGGTCTGGCGTCATATCACATCGATAGCAGCAGCCAGTTTTGTCGCGCCAGCCAGGGAAGCGAAAGACAGACTTGAGGGCTGACCAATCACCTTTGATTTCCAGCAGCACCCCACGGGGCAAAGGCATGGCAGAGCCCAAAGCCTTCTTCCTCCAGGCATCGGTGTCGTCAAATGGCTTTCCGTCTGATCTGGTCTGAGGCCAACAGCCAGTGGCCAAGGCAGCAAAGCTCCAGGCACAAACCCGAAAGATGGCATCGATTGTGCCACCTTCACCCTTCAAAACACAGTGCTTTGGCACGACAGCCAGGGGCAGGCGCATGTCGAGCAGCCCGCAAGTCAAAATGCCGAGAGACAGGACTTCAACACTCTTTGAGCGATCTGAGTTGAAAGGCACACCATCTTGCCACATGCTGAGCCCACAAAGAGATTCCTTGTCTACTTTGAGCGCAGCAGCAAAGCGCCCCATGCGTTCTTGCAGTGCAGATGGCAGCTGGTCAAAGTCTGTCAGGCCCGAAACTGACACTGTCCTGGAGTGCAAAGTTGCGACCAGCTCATGGGGCAACCAGAGAGGCACAGTGCCCTCAGTGCGTACTTGCGCTTTCCGATCCCACAGGGGCAAAGCAGCCATGTATGGTTTTGGCCAAAGGCTATCGCGCAGCAGCTTGCGCCGCAGGTCCCTGCTCAAGTTCTTACCGCTCTTGCTCTTGGAGCCAACCGCAGCTAAGTCGGACACATGGGCCGCGCTGGCATCTTCAGCGTCTTGGAAAAGAGTGCTCGCTCGGAGCGCACTGACATGGTTGCCCAGCAGCAGGTCGGCGACATTGTGCCGGAGTCGCTTCTGCTTAGGAACTGCTTTTCTCTTGGAATCTATTTCTTTTTTGGGCAGCATTGTCTGCAAAACAAAACAGAAAACATGCACTGAACGCCAAGCACCCATAGAGAAACACCTGTGAGCTAGGCCTAGCAGCTAGGCTGTGACTTCGAGCCTGAACCTAGGGGTCTAAGGCGCAAGAACTATTTTCGCTCGCAGCCGCTCCGGCCTCGATTCAAGCAGAGGCTCGACGCAGGACAGATCAAAACCTACAGAGCATTCCCCACAGAGCTCTGTAGCTCATGGCGCACCTACACAAAGCCGCGGTGCTGCAGCTCCACCTTGCAGGCTGCATCCTTAGCATCCATGGCTTTCTGTGTCGCTTCAGCCAGCTCCTGAGCCAGTTCCAGCAGGATCTTCGGCTCTTCGTCCCCCTTGAAGGCCTCGGCTCGCTTCATGAGGACCCGCAAACCATCGAGCAAGGAAGACAAGGCTGTCTTGGCATTGGAGACTGCACGGTGCTTCGGCTCCAGCGCTTTATCCGTGTCGGCCTTGACACGTAGCACCACCTCCAGGTTCTCCAGCTTGTCAAAGGGGGCCTTGAGCTTCAGCTTCTCGCGCTTCAGCGCCTCCATGTTCTTGCACAGGCCTTTGTACTCTTCGGACTCAAACTTCACTTCGGTCTCATTTTGGAGCAACTTCAGCCTCTTGTTGCCCTTTTGGACATCAAGGTTGTAGACATTGACCTTCTGCTCCTGTCGCTTTAAGTGGTCCACAAAGTTGCCACCGTAGAAGACATACATGAACTTATCCAACTCTTTCTCCTCAGGGTGCTCTTTCTTCTCGGCTTTGAAGGCAAACTTCTCGACCGACTCAGCAATTAGGTGCTGCACCAGAGAATCCTTGCGCTCAAAGGTCATCGAGTCCGGCTGGAAGGCGTTCATTTCCAAAATCTGGTTCCTGGCAGGGCAGCAAACAAAAAATGTTCTTTTCTGTCTTGGGGGTGGGGACCGCTGTGGGAGTTTAGTTTCAAAAGAGTCCTTGTAAAAAAACCTTCGCGCAGCTTGTCACGGGACTCCGTAGCATCCGTGTGTTGGTT